AAGGCGACGACGTCATCCAGCCGCCAGCGCAGCAGGCGCCGCAGCAGCACCATAGACTTGTCGAAGTGCTCCGCGATGAGCACCAGCTGGAAGCGCCGCTCCAGCTCGGCCAGGCGCGCGCGCACATAGGCGTCCTCGGCCGGCGCGTCGCTGTCGTAACCCAGGTCGAACCACATGCCTTTGCGCGCATACGCGTTCCTCAGCCCAGCGCTGGCGTTGTAGAAGCGTTGTGGCGCCTCCAGAAAGGCATCCAGGCTGCGCGCGGCGCGGAAGGCTGGTGTGTAGTCCTTGAAGTAGGTGAAGGAGGACTCGAGGTGGGCGACCGGGTGCCGCAGGATGGAGAAGTAAAAGGTGTCCTTGGGCATGACCTTCTGCACCTGCGGGGACAGAGAGAGGTGCAGCGGGCTCGAGGAGGTGACGGCGCCCGGGAACAGAGCCACTCTCCCCTGCCCGCGTGCCCAGGGGCCGCCAGCCAGCCAGCCGCGCTGCCACAGGGAGGCTGGGCAGCCCACGACCTCTGTGCAGCGGGTCTGAGCTCGCCCTCTCTCCTGTGCCCCTTTGGAGTCCTCGTGTCACACACTGGAGCGACAGTCCAGGAGATGGCTGGGCTGCGTGTCTCAGCCCCTCACCCCCACCCGAGCACAGCACAGCCCAGCCGTGCGCTGCCCTCCCACCATCGCCTCTGCCCACCCGGCCCTAGCCAATCCAGGCCACTGTGCTTCCCACCACCTAGAAGGCCGGTGTTCTGGGCTGCACTTGTGCTGGGCCACGCCTCTCTTCACCCCAACACACAATTCCCTTTAGAAGGAAAATCGGGGGAGCCCCTGGGAGGTGCTGATCCCTCCGTGGAGACCCAGATGACTTGGAGGGACTTCTGACCCCATCCTCACCAGAGTGCAGAGCACCAAAGTCCAGAGTAGAAAGAGAAGCAGGCTCAGGAACCAGAGGGGGGGCCTCAGGGACCGTGGGCTGCTGGGTCTCATTCCAAGAGCAACTGCCGGGCCCTGGCAGCCTGGAGCTCAGAACCCTCCTCCATTTCCTGGATTCCGCCACCCTGAACCCAAAGTCCCTGCCTTCCTCAGCCTCAGAATCCCACCTCAGGAAGGTTGAACCGCAGGTGGTTGCACATGATGTTGAATTGTCGGGGAGGCCCCAGGTGAGGGCCAGCCTGCAGGGCGCCCTCCACGTAGTGTGCCGTGAAGAGGCAGGGGTAGCCCAGGTGGATGTTGGGGCCCTGGGGCAGCGCCACAGACAGGTTGTGCATCTCAGCAAAGCGGTAGAGGATGTTGAGCACTGTGCTGCTGGCCGTCTTGTGTGTCTTGAGGAACATGATGTTGGTGACGGGTGGCCCCTCCACCTCAACCATGAGCTGACTGGGAGAGAGGACCCAGGAAGCCTCAGCCTGGCAGTGCACTCTCCACAGAACCCCACCCAGACCCCCAACCTGAGTCCCCCACCCTCAACCTGTCACTGTGGCCCTTGTCTGCAGACCCTTTCACCCTGCAGCCCAAGAGCCCCACTGGGACAGAGAAGTTCCCACATGGGCTGCAGGCTCAGCCCCAACTCAAGTACCCCTTGGACTTGCGGCCTGCTTTCTAACTTTCAAAGTACCCCTGTGGCGCTGAACTCAGCCACACATCCATTATTCCTGGCTGACCCCAACCCTTCACCCTGGGATGAAGAAGCCCTGAAGTGAAGCCAGCCAGACACAGGGCCAGAGGAGGCAGTTGCTGGGCCTTCCCTGCCCCAGTGCCCACAAGGCAGAATCCAGAGCCCTGCCCTGAACTAGGAACCAGGGGGTGGGAAGAGACTCATGCAGAGTTTGGGTTTCTTGCCATAAATTGTGTCACCAGCTGGGGAAGATTACTGGGGGAACACTGGCAGTGAGAGGGCACAGGTCTGACCTCCACCTTCCCAGACCCCACCCTGGGGGCCAGCCAACCTCTTCAGGGGGGCCTGGACACTAACAGATCCTCAAGGAAGGCCTCCTGGTCCCTCCAGGAGGTGAGAGGGAAGCTCAATGGGAATGTGTGTCCCACCACAGGCTGCCAGCATATGCTGGTGCCCAAGGGTGGGCAGGTAGAGGTCCCAGCCCTGCCCTTAGGGTTGCTGAGATGGGGAACCCTCCTGGGGTACAGGGATCCAACACAGTACTCACGGCAGGAACAGCCCAACATACATGTGCAGGAGGCCAACCAGCAGGAGCACAGCTAGCACCAGAAAGAGGAGGATCGTCCGGAGCGACCTGTGGGTGGATCTCAGTTCCCCACAGGCCCACACAGCCCTCCCTCATCCCGGCCCTGCCCCTGTCACACTGTCACACACTGGATGCAGGCTCTACCCTCTCTGCCCAGGACTAGGGGCACAGGGAAGAAGGGCCAGGTGGAGAGGCAGAGATATAGGCCAGGGATGAGTTTGAAGGCGTTGGATGCCATGACTGTACTGCATGCCCATAACCCATCATAGAGCACCAACTCATGGGTGGCATTTGGGGGTGGCCCTGGATAATGACGAGGGCTAGAGGAAGTCATAGGATAGAACCCAGTGATGAATTAGCACCATGCTAAGGGTCACATGGTTTGTGTTCTCATACACCACCTCTTCCTTGGAAGGACACAGTGCCATGTGCCTGCCAGGGAGAAATCACCCTAGAAATGGCCCTGCGAAGCCTCAACATACTCTTCAGGGTTAGGGCTAGCCTAACCTTGGCCCTAATCCTTCTGGTGTCTGGCCAACTGACTGGCATCCAACCAGGATGGGAGAGTGGGTGCAGTAACCGGGGCAGGGGCTCCCCTATCTTGCTGACTGGGACTGAGCCTGAGATAGGGACAGCACATTCCTAATGCAGGGGGCTTGCATTTGGACAGAAGACTCAGAAGATTCCAGGAGTAGTGAACGGGCTGAGTGTCCTCCCTGTCCCTCCTCTGCCCGGACCCATGTACACCTGGGTGGTTTACGGTAACCTGCATTTTTGGGGTTGGGTCCTGGGAAAATGAGAGAAAGCCCTAGCCAGTCTCAACCCCCTAGGGTCACCCCAAATTTATCTCTTCAGGCTTTTTAGCCCCCCAGATCTCTACTGAGGTTTCTGAAGGGCCTCAGTCACAAAGTAATGACTGGAGCTCCTGGTCTGTTCCTCCAGTTTGCCCTCTTTCCTTCCCTCAGCTGAAGTGCTGCTCTGTCTTCCCATTGCTCTGGTCCTACTCACCCCCCACCACTAGTCCTGCATCCTGCTAGCCCCATCACCCCAGGATATTGGTGTCTTCCCCACTCCAACATGTTGCTTTCATGGCCAAGCTCCAACATCTCATCCATCATTAGATCATCAAAAAAAAGAAAAAGAACACAGCCAGCCACAAAAGGAGCCAGACTCCTTTCTAGAAGACTCTAGCAAACCTCCACTCGCATCTACTTGGCCAGAGTGCAGTCCCACAACCGAGGTCACATGTAGTGGCCTGTGTAGGTCCAGGGGACAGTGAGTCCTGGCCCCATGGGATCCCTGTCAGAGAGCAGTGTCTCTGGGGGAAAGTGGATGTCCTTCTAGTCCTGGTATGGTTCATGGCCCAGGTTCCTCACAGCTGGGTACTGCCTGCAGGTCCAACCTTGCTGGGCCCTGACACTAGGCCACAGGCAGCTGCCCACATGGGTGTGGGCAGCTTCACATGGGTGCCCCTATGGGTATGGGCAGCTTCACACAGAGCTTCACATGGGTGTGAACTCAGGACTCAGACCAACCCGCCGGACCAGAGCTTACAAGCCAGGGAGACCCAGCCCCAAGTCTGACCAAGCTCCAGTCTAACCCAGGGAGCTGTTGGAAGGTCACCCCTCAGGCTGCAGGCTTGGTTTCAGTATCTTTCAGCTTCCTTGGCAGTCCTGGCTGTGGGCACATAGGTCAGTGCTCCCTTCTTCACCAGGCATTTTCAGTCCTGGTGTCCCAGCAGCAGACCTGGGAAGCATGCCATGCTGAGTGCTGCCTGCTCCCTAAGACCCCAGAGCATGTCACTGGTTCCTCTCATTCTTGAATACGGGATCAAGGCAGAGAGGCTTGGCTTTGCCCTCCCCAACGGGCCCTGGTAGGATAGTGAAAGCTGCCAGGAGAACTCACACACCTCCTGGGACTCTTAGCCATGTGGATAGAGAGCAGATTACATGAGCAGCTCAGGAAAAGGAGACACGATGCAGGCCTGGCATCCACTCTAGCTTTGGGGATGGCACCATGAACCTTAGATTCTGAGTCCTCAGACACTATGGCCTGAGGATGTGCCCAGCAGCAGTCCTACCTCCAGAGTAGATACTATGATCACCTGTCCCAGACACACCCAGGAGGTGTCACGGCAGCCCTTGCTAATAGTTCTGGACCTGACCACCTTTCCACTGGAACTTCCCTCCCCACCACCCATCTCCCACCCCCATGAGAGCTGGCCCTGGGCCCTTTGTGGGCCGGGCCTGAGGCCTGCAGAGGGTCCCAACTGCTGCTTGTTTGGAGGAGGAGTGGGAGGAAAGAGAGGAAGGCGGCCTCCCCTAGAGTGCACCCAGGGCTGCTATGCAGAAGGCAGAGCCCAGCGGGCAGCTGCCCCACAGGCCCAGACAACTGAGGGACAATTTGGTGCCAAGAAAAACCTACAAAAACATCTGGGAACATTCCACACAGCACAGGGTCTTCTAGGTGGCAGAACAAAAAGAGCCACCACTAACACTGCAGGGATGTGGTGTCCAGACAAAAATCAGGGGATAGCAAGGCCCAGAGACAAGTGGCCAGCACTTGTCCACCAGCTAGAAACAACAGGAAGAAAGCAAACACGATGATCTCCAGAGTGGAGTCGGCAACCCTGGCCAGTGTCCCCAGCATGGCAGGGGATCCCACCTCCAGGCATGGGGGCTACCACCCCTCTGGCTAGTGCTGTGTGGGCCAGGCCACGTTGGGATCACCCAGCAAGTTTGGCCCAAGGATTTCTCCTACGAGTGACCAGGTCCATGTGGGCAGCCACTGTCTGTCTTCACTGAGTAACCCTGCATTCCTTTGAGTCAGCACCCATACATCATAAGGATGAGGCTGGTGGCCAGAGCCATGCTCTACCCTGTGGGCACACAGCCACTGGCCATGTGATGACCTGTGGCCTGATGGAATAAACAGAAGTGTGTGTGTCTTTCAGGAGGGGAGGCAGAGAAGTCACTAGGAGGGCCTGGTGTCTAGGGCAGGACTTGACCACAACAGCCTGACATCTTGTGAGGGGTCTCTCCCCGGGACACCAGACACCTTAAGGGTTGCCTGTCAGAGACACAGGGTTGGTGCAACTTGGAGAAGCAGAATGTCACCTGCCCTGCCCATTGCCCTTTGAAGCGCAGTCTGGGGTGTCAGAGCTCTCACAGGAGTTTGCTGATTGCTCTGCATACAGCCTGAGTCTGTCTGGCATGTTTTAAAATTTGCCAATTTTATTGTATTGGTAGATAAAATATTTATTCAAGCTGCAGTTCTAGATGCCTTTGCCAAGCCATAGTGTTCTCCCTAGGAAGCTGTTTCTAGAAGATTCACCTCACTGACTGGGCACTAGCTTCCTCTCTGTCCTCCCTGTCAGGCCCTTCAGGACCACAGGAATGAGATAGGCTAAACACATGCTCTGCTCTGCTCTTACTCCTTGCTGACCAGAATGTACCAGGCTCATCTTGGATGGCACCTGGCCAGGCCAAAAACCAGCCATGGCTCTAAGGAATTCCTGACCCTCACTCTTTAGGGGCCCTGGTCTGGGTTCTGGGATGTTCCTGGGCCTTCTCAGTGGCCAGAGCTGGACTATGCATCTGACAGAATTACCCATAGGCCACACTCATGTATCCAGGTGGAGGCCACAACTTTATCAGCCTCCTCTTGTCCCATCTGGTCTCCCGTCTTCTATTCCAAGAGTATGGGTCTCAGAGATGCAGGAGACAGTAGGGAGAGGAGGCTCTGTAAGTGCATGCCAGACAGGTCAGAACCCTAGTGCAGTACCCCATCTCATTCCGCAAGGGTCCCCACTAGCCATACTTCCATCCCACAGGCCTGACCCCCTCACTTCCATGCTTTTCCCTAAGTCTTCCAGACACAGAGCTCAAAGCAGCCTAGAGGAGACTCCAGGGGTCATGGTGGGCCAATGGGCCTCCATGGACATCACAACTGCAGTGTACAGAAGCTCTGGGAATGCTCAAGTCCAGGGCAGGCAGGGACAGATAGAGAAGAGCAAGTGGCCAGCAGTGACCATTGGGGTCCCTGCTAGGGTTAGAGAGGAGACAGGCCCTTTCCATCCCCACAGAGCTACCCTGAGTAGGGTCCCAAGTTACCAAGGGCCATGGCTATGGGACAGTAGCTCCTGGGAAGGTGGCTGCAGAGCATGTGCTGGAGAGGGACAGAACATTTTACAGCCCAGCATAGTTAGGGCTTAACCTACCTGATAACAGCCCTATGGGGATTACTTGTCACTTAGCCCTCACTTTATGATCCATATAAAACCCTCAAACACACCGTTTCCACCCAGCTCAGGTTCATTAAACTCGGCACACACTGGCCATCTGTCTGATAGTCCACCAAGAGCCAGCCCAGTGAGAAGCAACCCAGAGACCCTGCGTCGGGTTCCAGGGTCTCCCAGAGCAGAGGCTGAGGATGTACTCAGTTAGCCACCTGACCCTACTCCAGCCACACACACATACTGCCCTGAACACCCCCTCCCTGCCTGAGGAGGGGACATGAAAGTCACAATCCAGAGTCTAGCACACTAAGCTAGTCAGCCTGGCTTGCTCTCGTCTATGGAAGAACAAACACAGTTTAAATGTTTTTTAAATAAATAAATAGTAATTCCCAGGTGCAAAAAGGGAAAGGAATGGTCCCTTTAGAACATAGACTTAAACACCTCAAGACTGTAAAACCACCCTTAAGACAGAGATGAACCTCTTGATCATTTAATGAGCTTGTGGACACCTTCTCCACTCTCTGTGAACTACCAGGAAGGCGGTTGGCTGACACCTGGCTGAATCCTAGTGCAAAGCCACTTCCTGCTGTAAAGATAGCAGACGTTTATCCTCCATAGTCAGGCCAGTGAGCCAGTGCAGGAGGCCTCCCACCTTCCAGGAGGACCCAGGGTAAACTCAAGTAGGTGGTGCTGTCCAACCTCCTACCTGGGCTCTGTGGCCTCCTTGCTTGGGAGCATTGGTGCCATGGACCCACCTGCCAGGCCTCCTGAGTGTCTCTGCATGGGCACTGTCCCTACCCAGACAACCCCAGGCCATCATCCATATCTGCCCTAAGAGGAAATTACCATTTATTTTAAAATTTAACATTTGTGTTGCCTCTGTTGGAGAAGGCCCAGTGCTCCAGGCCAGCAGAGGGGGACCCCACTCTGGCCCCACACCCACTCTGGCCTGGGCCTCCCCCCAGGGTGTGGAGCTTGTCCATAATGACTTGTAGGTGCACCCAGCTCTGTCTGTGGGGTTTGAGGGGTGTCTGCGATGGCCACCTCCACCCTGCAGCCCCTACCTCCTAGTGAACAGCCAGTGCATGGGACCAAGGATGCTTGCCCAGGACCTACAACCCTACCCACACTGGAGCTTCTCACACCCTGGTAGGCCAAGAGGCATGATAGGAGTAAGAGTCCTGCTGTTCACAGGAAAGGGCCCCTATGCCATCAGGGTGCTCACACTCTGTCTCCCCAGTTACGGTGGATGCCCTGCCTGGCACAGCCCTGGCGTGAACTCCAAAGGAGAGATGGCCACTACTGAATCCCTGGCCAGTTATCACCGCAACAGAGGAGCAGATAGCTCAAACTTCCATACGGACACCCAAGGGACCCACCCAAGGCCACCCCTAGGGCTACCCAGGACCCAGAGCCTATACTCCTATGCCAGTGGCCAGTGACCAAGGACAGGTGGACACCCAAATCTGGCAGGGGAAGGGGGCTGGTGACTCCATGGACAACTGGAATATTTTGTCTGAGCACTGCTTCCTGGATGTTTCTTTCAACGGAGGCTTAGCCACTAAAGAGGTAACTGAGGATTGCAATCCCCAGACACCTCCTGAGACTGTAGCCCTGCCATGGCTCTGCACCACGTTTCCCCACCAGGACCTGGCTACATGCTAGGGTAGGGGTCAATCTAGCTCTGGACATGGGCTACTAACCAGTTGGGATGATGTCTTAGGACATGCTAGCATGCCAGCACACCACCCACTTGAGGACAGGTCACTAGGCTCTAGTGACCTGATTCAGACACGTCAGGCTTTTCCAGGGACACATGTTAACTCCTACAGCCAGAGCCAACCCCCACCTACCCAGGCAAAGCAGCAGATAGGGACCTGACCTGTCTGGGAGACACTGACCTCTCCATGTGGGGCTCATCCCCAGGCAGGAAGGTGGCCTCTGCCCTCCCACAAGGCTCTTCTAAGGCCCTTATCCCATTCAGACCTGGCTACCAGCATGGTCACCGGAAAGCTGGCCAGACACCCACACTCCACCAACCTCAGGACTGGAGCCACACAGCCCATCGCAGGACAACATAGCTCTGTTCCCCGATGAAATTCCCCAGGGCTCAACACTCCAGGAAGGCAGGTTTCAGGAAGAACCAGGCCTCTTTTTGTCTCATTTCAAACAGCAGAGAAGCCTCTTCCTGTCCTTCCCAGGCTTGGGCTGGTCATGGATACCTGGGATGCCTGGCTGTAGGAGGACCAGCTGCCCACTACCACAACTGCTACTGAGGTAAAAACAAGATATGGTAGAGCCTTCTGGGTATGGAGGGGGGAACAGAGGCCCTGAGCTGGAGGAGACCCAGGGATCCCATCCAGTGGCACCAGGCAAGTGGCCTCCACAAATCACATCTGCAAAACTGGCTCCACCCTGCAGGAACCCTAAAAACACCACAGTGAGCTGCAGGAGTAGACTGCAAGGTATCTAAAGACCATACCCGCCTCCCTCTATCCTAGACATTAGGAACACTCAACTTTCCCTGTTCCTTGGAGAGGTGCGCACCATCAGTCACCCATAGAGGTAGGGATAGGTGCCCTACCCCCTCCACTGCTACCAGGCCCCCATACCCTCCTCCTGAGTACCTCAAAATGCACATAAGTGTGAGGGACTTCAGTCCCAGACTGTCCTCTAAGCACAGACCTAGCCTTGGGACACAGCCCCCACCCAGACCCTAGGCCACACCCTCCCATGGATCCCAAGCTCCGGAACCCACAACCAGCCCAAGCCTGGGAAGGAGAGGGAGAGATTCTCTGCTGTCTGAAATTAAACCAAAAGAGGCCAAATTCAGAGAAGCCATAGAGGTAAAATCCCCAAAGCTAAGCAGACTTCCTTTTCAAAACAAAGCCTCCCTCCCCAGCTTTTCAGGGCTTCCATGGAGCAAAGCATCTTGGTCTACTGTGACACCCTGCGCCCCTGCCTCACCTCTGAGAGCCTCCCATCAGGGACACCATGCTGCCTTGGGATGCCAGTAATACTGCCAGCAGTCGAAGTCTGAATGGCCCTAGGTCCCACTACCCAGGCTCCCTCAGCTCTCAGCTGCCTGAGGAAGGACAAAGGGCACCAGACACAGGCACCAGATGGGGTGTGGCCACTGTGGCTGAACATGATCTTTAATCCGCAGAAGCTCACCTGCTGGCTCAGGCATGTGCCATGCCCTCACCCCTCATCTCAGTTGAAGGACTTAACTGTTCCATTCTCAGAAGAGCTGGGCCTCTTCCTGGGCTGGAACAGGAGGCCAGGCTCCTTACTGAGCCTCTCCTCCTCCATCCTCAGGCAGGCCCTGGCAGCCAGGCCAGGTGTTCAGAAGAACCAGTCCCATCTCACCCACCCACTCTTGGATCCATCCACTGGATACAGCCTGGTGGGTCCAGAAGGACCAGCAAGGGCTTCTGCACCCACAGCTGAGGGGGGAAATTCAGGGTTCTTGTCTCTGCACAGCATGGCCAGTGCTCAGCTGGCACATTTGACAGGTTCCTGGACAGATAAGGAAGGGACAGGGCCAAATCCAGACATTTCTTCTTAAAAAGTGTGCTTTATACCAGATGAAAATCTATCTTAAGTATTGGGCAGCAAAGGGACTTCTGAGGAAGGACTTTGAAGTAAGAAATAAATACAAATACTTGTAGATTTTATTACATGAAAGTTCATTTCTATCCTTAGGAAATAATAGAATTCTGAGACATACAAGACCCCACAGAAGAGCAGGGCGTGGTGGCACACACCTGTAATCCCAGGACTCAGGAGGCTGAAGCAGTAGGATCGCTGTGAGTTGGAGACCAGCTTGGGCTACACAGTGAGTTTGCAGGTCAGTCTCAACTACATAGTGAGACCGTCTCAAAAAACAAAAAACAAAGAAAACAAAACAAAACAAAAAAAGACCCCACAGAAATGTTTGCCATGGCTGACTCCAAGAGTTGTGTCCACATGGTTGAGTTTCTTACAAATCAGTAAGAAGAGACCAACACCCCACAGAACCACAGGCACCCTTACCCACCAGCCTGGGTGTCACTACCTGATGACCCCGCCCCATACAGCTGGGACAATGCTGTCCTTGTGTCCTTTCCAGGATGCAGAGCCAGCCAGGGACAGGAGCCCTGCCAGCTGGAGGGAGGCAGTTCTGTGGCCTGGGACAAGAGTCTGAGAATCTGCAAGCTCCAGCCCCACCCCAAAGGAGGCAGCAGCCGGAGAGAGCAACTCAGACAACAAAATATAGTGTTTATGGGGACAGATGCATAAGTCACTGCCCACCAAGGACATAGGGACTTCCAACCAGCCTTGAAGGCCCTGGCCATTCAGGATGAAGGATGGTCCATGTGTGCAGAGCTCTGCACTTTTCGGGCCAGCCAGACCTGAGTACTGGGCACACAGCCTGGACACTGTGGGGAGGGGTGCACTGAAGCCAGACCAGAAGTGGACAGAGAGGAGAGCACCAGAGAGGCCAGCAGGGCCCAGGAGTCCCCTTCGCAGCTGGCATTTCCAGGCTGCAAACCCAGCACCACGACAGGCAGTGGACCAGAGCAGAACAGAGGCCAGTTCTTGGCTTCTGGGTGTCAGATGTGAGGCCTAGGGTGCAGAGGAGCTTCCCATCCTTGAGCAGGAACAGAGTGGCTGTGGGCCAGGCTGGCATGACCCACAGCAGAAGCACCTCTGGCTACCTCCTCCACTTGGAAGAGGATTCCATGCCACCCACCCTCCACCACAGAGACCCCAGCCTGCACTCTACATGGCACCTACTCCAGGTATCTGCTCTCCTAACCAGGCTGAAAGGGCTTCACTCATGCCAATCACCCTGAGAGTCTTTGGAGCCCTGTGTCCCATCACCCCACCATCCCCAGGGGCCCAAGGCCACAGAATCTGAAAGGTGGCTCTGGGAACCCACACTCTACCCATAAGCAGAGGGGGCACCACTCAACTCCTAGACGGCCATCCCAACCCATCGGCACACCCACTAGACAGGGCCAGTGGGGAGGGGGCCACCCAGATTGGACGGGGCTGGCAGAGATGGGAACACCTAGGGTGGATGGGGCTGATGGGGACAAAGACACCCAGGGTGGACAAGGATACCCAGGGTGGACAGGGCCAGTGGGATAGGGACACCCAGGGTGGACAAGGCTGGCAGGGATGGGAACACTCAGGGTAATGGGGCTAGGGGGATGAGTGCCTAGCCCAGTAGATATGGCAGTTTAGGAGCATAATGTTGAATGCCCATGGGGCTACACAGCTGGGCTACATCTCGGCACACCTGGAGACTCCACCTGCCCTGTGCTCTTCTAGAAACTTCTCATTCTCATGCAAGACAAGTGGAACGGAGGGGTGGGGCAGGGCACGGTATCCATGTGTGAGTCAGCAAGGCTGTGCCCCCTGAGCTTTTGTGGGGAACCTAAGTGAGTAGGGTAGGAGTGAGCAGAGGTGACATCGGCACGTGACACACAGACCACCCTGGCTCCAACAGTCACCAGGCGCTGCCATCTGGTACCTTACCTAGGAGATGCTATAGTCACCTTTCCAGCTGCTTGGGCTATGGCCCTAGGGAAGAGTGATGGACAGGGTGCTTCAGGTAGGAAGACCCCTCCAGAATGGCCGCAAACCTGAGCAGAGACCACATGCCCTGTGGGGTACACAGCCACTTGGCCTCAGGGGCCCAGGTGGGCAGCAATGGGAGGAACCCAGGACAAGGGCAGGACCACCTGGGGTCACACGGCAAGTGACAACTAGGCAGGACCCCAAGAGTCAAGCACAGTGGCCAGCAAGGGGCTCTGGTCTACTGCTGTCAGCACCCTGGGTCCCAACCTCCCTGGTGGCACCTGTCCTGTTCCCAGGACAGAAACTCTCCTGTAGGACACTGCAGTCCTGCTGTCCCCTTTGCTGGGGGCAGCTTCTTTGCCACACCATACCCTCCCAGGGCTGAGACCACCCCTGCCCCTTCCCTCCCTCTGGGCAGCTGCAGTCTGGCCAAGGCCTGCTCATCTGGAACTACTACCTCTGGGTCTCAACATTGCAGGGCTTAGTCTGGAGGTGGAATCATAAACTAATCCACACACAAAGGCTCCTGCCTCCTGCACACTGACCAACTTCATCATCCACCAGACTCAGCCTGGACGTAGTCTGCTCCTTTGCTAACTGGGACCACAAGTCTTGTCAGTGCCTGGGGCCTGGAGGTTCTGATGGTGGGGACCCTCACCACATATCACTGGTGATAACCCAGCAAAGTCCTGACAATGTCCCATGGCCCCTGGGAGTCTCTGTTCAGTAAGGCAAGGAAGGGTTCCTGGTGTTTACCAGGTGGTCTCTCTCCTTGGGATCCTCAGCCTACATCACCAGGAGGTCCAAAGAGGCAAGTCTTCCACTTAAAACATGGTTGTGTCATTTTCCCGCTGACTCTAACAGGTTTTTCTGGATGTGTGAACTCATAGCTTCCCTGTCACGTGTGAACTGCAGTCAGCATCAATGCTAAGGGTTCCCTGTCCCGCTGTGCCATGTCTGCCAGGCTGTATTTCAGCCTTTTATGGACATCACTGACTTCACAATGCACCTCCAGCACAAAGGAGTAAGAGGAAGAGTCCCAAAAATGCCCCTCCCCTGCCGTGGATGACAGAAGTGAGCCAGCAGGTGGTAGGGACAGCAGAGGAGAAGGCAGCCCTTAGCCTCATGAGCTCCACAAAAACACACTGTGGCCAGC